GTGGCCCTGTGGCAGAGAGTGGCCCTGTGGCAGAGTGTGGCCCTGTGACAGAGAGTGGCCCTGTGGCAGAGAGTGGCCCTGTGGCAGAGTGTGGCCCTGTGGTAGAGTGCTTGTCCATTACAAAGCAGTCTCTGGGTTCAGGCCCTAGCACCACAAAAGGTTGGGGTTTTTTGGTACCGGGGATCGAACTCAGGACCTTGTGCACAAAAGGTTTTTTGAGACAGTAATTGTATGTATTTGTGGAACACAGTGCATATGTTTACCTTTCTGGGAAATTGACAGACTGTTCCAAGCCAGCAGGCCATTTTACATTCGTAGCAGTCTGTGGCAATTCCAGCTTCTCTGCATCCTTGCTGACACTTTCTTTCTGTTTCTATTGTAGCCATCCTAGTGGGTGTGAAGTAGCATCTCCTTGTGATTTCATTTTCCTTTCTCTAAGATTATGTTAAAATCTTTTCTGTGCTTATGGGCTGTTTGCGTATCTTTGAGGAAACTCCTGAGCTCTTTTGTTCAGACATGGAAAGTTTGATCCCAGTCAGTGAATAACAGTGTCATGAATACTGTTCCTTCACAGAGAGAAAGTGGAAGGAATAGAGCAGAAGATTTTTGAAGGACACACATAGGCTTTAAAAGTTGTAAGAATAGAGAACTATATGTGAAGACTGCTCTTTCTCTAACAGTAAGCAAATGTCAGCAAGAAGGTGACTCAGCATGTGCCCAAAAAGGGCAGGTCTCCAAATTTTTATCCCAAGAATGTGTTATCAAAAGCAGGTCAACCTTTTGTTTATAGGGGAGTAAAAGAGCCCAGTGGTACAGCTGATTCTGACTCCACTGTCCTGCAATGTCACCATATTTCTGTTCTGCACAACTAGTACTTTTCAACAACACAGCTTCCTCTTGTAGTTCTGAGTGCACCCTTTTGCACTTTAGGATCCCATACAAGGAATGATTACAATATATGGTGAATGTTTAAGTTAACTTCATGAGGGTAGAAGACACATTGCCATAGATGGTCCTCACAGTACTCCTTCCTGCTGTGAACACACTCACCCCATCATTCTTGCCACCGTCTGCAGCAGGTCTGGAAGTCCACTTTTGAGAGTGTCTTTACAAGGTGTGATAAAAAATACGGTGACTGCTGTTGCCGAGTGCCATCCAATAGAAAGACAGTTCATAAGAATACGATAGTGTGTCCTCCACCTCCTTATTCACAGATACAGCACTGTGTGACGGCTGGCTCTTCCCCAAAGTCAAAATGATCATGAAAGGTAAATGTTTTAAATTGATGCAGGACATCGAGACAGCCACACACAACCAAAGACACATGGGAGAGTTCTTCCAAAGCCGCTTCAGAGAGTGACAAGGATGATGGGCTGAGTGAGTTTGAAGCAAGGAGAAGGATTTTGAGGGGGATTCATGGCAATGTGTCCTTTACTGTAATAAAAACTCTTTAAAACAGTAAACATTCACTATATTTTTCAGTCACATTGCATATCTGAAACCTATCTACTTAATTGAACACTATACTAGATTGTTGAAATAATATCATGTTCTTTTAAAAAAATTTTGTGATTCTTTTGTGTGCTGGGGATCAAAACCATAGTCTTATTCATGCTAGGCAATTCTCTACCACTGAGTTACATCCCCAGCCCCACATATTCTTTTTTGATCAATCTTCCTTGAATGCACTCAGTAGGAAGCTTGTCCTGTTGAATCAAAAGGTCAGATCTTACCGAAGTCTGAAGAGACATGTAGGAGTGGATATATGTCTCACTGTTAGAAAATAGTTCTTTGATCAGAACTTTTCTAATAGAACGCTGCTTCTTAGGTTTTAATACTTAGCCTTTAAGGGCCCGGGGGTTTAGCTCAGTGGTTTCACCGCCTGCTGAGCCTTAAGTGCAAGGACCTGAGTTCGATCTCCGGTACCAAAAAAAAAAATACTTAGCATTTAAATAAAAAACCAGGTGATCATTTAGCCTGTGTGAACTGCACCCATTTGTGACCCTTAAATCTGTCGTCTTCAGGGTGCACTCTGTGTGACCGAGCCTACCCCTCAGACTGCCCTGACCATGGACCGGTGACTTTCATTCCTGATTCTCCAATAGAGAGTAGAGCGCGGCTGTCTCTCCCGAAGCAGCTTGTTCTGCGCCAGTCAATCGTGGGAGCAGACGTTGGTAAGAATCCTGGAGCCAGAAAACCCTGTGCCAAGTCTGTCCTTCCTTGGTAGGGTAGAGTTGTAAAAGTGGAGATAGATATATAACTGAGTGATTATTTAGTTGATCCAGAAGTCAGTTTATGGCTTAAGATGTATGCTTTCAGGGAATATCTGTCTTGTTTGGTGGTGATAGCAACAAATCAAGTTGAAAACCTTATTGAGAACCCTCAGTCTTCGAAGAACCAGAATTGAAAGGCAGGAACCGTGGTCTGAGCCCTGAAGACTTGGCTTTTATTCTCAGCTCTGTCACCCACCAGCAGTTGTCCTGGCCACACATTCTTTCAAACTTGGTTTCCTTTACTAAAGCGTGGACATTCTCCACTGATGATTGTATGCCACCAAAGCTGTTTAGATCAAATCTTTGTAAATTGCCTAGTTCTCCTTAGGAAAACGGAGTAAGGAGTGTAGGCTCCCAGAGTGTTTTTATCACTGTTTCAGTTTAACGTGGCTCCTGGGTTACTCTTGTCATTTTTTTTGAAAGTATAAAACTTTAAGGTTCATTTTGTTTCAACCACAGCTTTGGGCATGAGTCTTGAAAGTGTAAAAACATCTTAGATAGTACAGAGCAGATCTTTAAATAGAATAATGTTTTCAGTTTTCCATGTGCTAATATGTGTGGAGGGACATGGTCAGCTCCCTGCTTCTTGCTCTGCCTTTCTCCTGAGCCCCTTTGCATCTGTTCAGTACATTCTATAATTGCAGCCAGGCCCCCAGCCTTGGCCACCTCTCAGCAGTGCTGACATAGCAGCAGCTCCTGGGCTTGGGGCGGATGAGGCCCTCTGTATCCTGTGCGTTCTTTCAGTCGTGGGTGTGCTGTGGCTGTCCCCCGCTGACAGGTGTGTGGACCGGAGAGACCATTCCCGTGCGCACTTGCTTTGGGCCTCTGATTGGTCAGCAGAGTCACTCCATGGAGGTGGCCGAGTGGACAGACAAGGCCGTTAACCACATCTGGAAGGTCAGTGGTGAGGAAATTTCTCTGATGTTTGGCTGCTTTTATTAGGATGTGGTAGTTTAAGTGGCAGAAAGTCAAACTCTGCCAGACCTGATACAGTGCTGTTCCCCTGTCATTTGCTTTAATATCATACCCTCCCCCATTATTCTTGGTAGCTAGGATATACACCAGCTATTAAACAAATAGAGGAAAAACTATTTTAGTTTCCATTTTGAGAGAATCTGATAGCTTGAATTATTTTTGTGCATTTTAATTACTTGTGGCTGTTGAGTCTGTAGACTTTTTTATCATTAAAAATCTTTTTTTTTAATCTTATTTTTAATTAAAACTTTCCTAAATATTTTGCTTGGGAAACAATTCTAGAATTAGGAACTAAAATTATTTCTCTAGTTTTCCAGTAGGAATGCAAAGTTTTGGCTTAAACTACAATTCCCGTAACATGTTCTGTAGAACCTCAGTCAGGGACTTGGGAGTGAAGTGGGGAGACAGTCCTACGGTGATTGGAAAGGTAAGGTACTGCTGTCACTGAGGACTTCAGCTGCAGTGTCCCAGATAGGACACAGCAGTGCTGGCCCGGCTGGAAGAATGATGAGGCCAGAGCTGTGCCCCCGGTAGACAGCCAGCCAGTCACCTGTGCCTGGGGACTGAAGCAGCCAGGGGGGCAGGTGGGCTGGCTTGCGTCTTCTCGAGGAGAAAAAGTGATGAATCCAGAGCGAAGTCCTCTGCACAGACGGACCCTGGAGCCCTCTGAGGGTCTCCTGTGTTGTGGGGAGCGGGCGGAGCAGGGAAAGGAGAACACTGGAGGAGGCAGCTGTGCGTCCTCACGCCCAGGAACACAGGGCCTGCCGGCCGCAGATGAGCAGGACAGGACTCGGGTGGGGCAGCTCTTCTCCACTGTGCCGCTCACTGGAGAGGTGTGCGCTCTCCTTGCAGATCTACCACAGCGGCGTCCTGGAGTTGTGCATTGTCACAACTGACGAGAACGAATGCAACTGGATGATGTTTGTGCGCAAAGCCAGGTAAATAAGGGTGGCCTTGGGTGAGAAACTCTTACCATTCGGGAGGCTCCCTGGGGAGCTCTGCGTGAAACAGGGAAGAGCTGCAGAGTCCAGGACATATTACAGCCTGAGGCCTTCAGCATCTTCCCTCGGGCGGAGGCCAAGGGGTGTAGATCCGGGCCGTGTAACTGCGCTCCTCTACACATGGTTACTCAGCTCACCGGTGCAGTGGGGAGTGCTCCAGCCCATCGCCTGAAGTTGGGAGTGGGCGCCACCTCTTTCTGTTGGCTGCTGGTCAGCTCTTTAGGCTGTAACTATAGTTACTTCTTGTTAGCTCGTGATCCCTGTCTTTGTCAGAGTATTTTTTTAAAATGTCATTTTGTTTAGTCTTTTTGCTGCTAGTAACAGGCTCTAGTGTTTCTGACAGTAACTGAGTATTACCGGTGATCAGCTAATGTACTGAAGTAATAATTGTGCTTCTCAGCCAGGCATGGTAGCACATGCCTGTATCCCAGCATTCTGGGAGGCTGAGGCAGGAGGACTGCACATTCAAGCCCCACCTGGTCATCTTAGTGAATTAGCTGACCCTGTCTTAAAATTTAAAAGAGTATGTAGGTCAGCGTGAAGGCTCTTGTGTTCAATTCTCAGTACTGGAAAAAAAATCTATTTTTCTACAAGTCCCTCTTAAATAGGTAGGATAGAGAATTTAAAAAATGACCTGGATGGTTGTCTCTAAGCTTTTGTGTAGGGTTTTGCTGCGTTTGAGTATGCATTTCTAATGAGCCTGCTGAAGGGCCAGGATGTAGCCCAGTGTAAATTGCTTGTCCAGCATGCACTCTGGGTTTGATCCCCAGCACCAGGGGAAAACTATACTTAGCTAGGTGATGACACACACCTGTAGTTCCCCCCATTCTGGATGTTACTGGAGCCCAGAAGTGGGAGGCTGGTCTCAGCAGCATAAAGACCCTGTCTCTTCAAAAAGGTAATATGCTTAATCTGTTCAATGTGTTAACTTAGGAATCGGGAAGAGCAGAATTTGGTGGCTTATCCCCATGATGGCAAAATCTATTTCTGTACCTCACAAGACATCCCTCCTGAAAACGAACTGCTTTTCTATTATAGCCGGGACTATGCTCAGCAGATGGGTGAGTTTGTAAGACTTGTCATGAATCTGGGACAGTAAAAACACCCAAGGGCCAGAAATAAAGTTTTGGTAATGAATTATATGGCAGCTCAAGTAAGTTGCATACTCTGCGTGTATGAAAGCAAGGAGTTACTCCTGTGTTTGAGATGTCAGAATCTGTGAGGTTCGTCTTCGCAAGCTGAATGTTACCGACCACGTGAAATTCCCATAAAGTGAGCTTTTGTGGCATGACTTTGATTTGTCAGAAGCTTTAAGCTTCTGAGGCTACTTTTGGAGGCGGCAGTACTGAGATCGATGTCTGTGAAGGTCAGCAGAGCCCTGTACTTTGATTTAATGGACATAAGCTCGCTTTTTTCACTGTATCTTGTTGACAAGTGATGCTCAAGAGTTTGTGTAAACTACTGAATCTAATGTTTTGCCCAGGAATGAGACATTGGTCCACTATTTACCATGTATTTTTTATGTGTCTGGTACATTATTTTAAGTGGTGAAAACACAGTCTGGCCCAAGACATTCTAATTTTATAGGAATTGGGCAAGTTGGGAATTTTGATAGGAGGGACGATTGCCAGCAACAATGATTATTGTCAAGGTGAAGTTTTACTATTTAAGTATCAGGAGACACTGAGGGATTTATTTTTTAAAGGAGTTCCTGAGCACCCAGATGTGCACCTCTGCAACTGTGGGAAGGAGTGCAGCTCCTACACAGAGTTCAAGGCCCATCTGACCAGCCACATCCATAACCACCTCCCCAGCCAGGGCCACGGCGGCAGCCACGGGCCCAGCCACAGCAAGGAGAGGAAGTGGAAGTGCTCCATGTGCCCGCAGGCTTTCATCTCTCCCTCCAAGCTGCATGTCCACTTCATGGGTCACATGGGGATGAAGCCCCACAAGTGTGATTTCTGTAGCAAGGCTTTCAGTGATCCCAGCAACCTGCGGACCCACCTCAAGATACACACAGGTAAGCTGGGTTAGACTGTCAGAAGGGAATTCATGGTGGGGGGCTGTACACGAGCTCAGGGCCTTACACGTGTCAGACAAGTGCTCTGCCACCGAGCTGCGCCTCTAGCCCCAGAATGGAGTTACCATAACAATTGGAAGTTGCAGTCATAAAGGGTTTGCAGAGAGAAAATATTGCGGGTGGAGTTGGGATAGGATGTCAGAGAAAGCATGCCGGTGCCGGTTGGAGGTGGGGTGGATAACTGAGTCCCTGGGAGGGTGCGGCTCCCACTTTCTAAGCTGCTCCTCTCAGTACCCCTCTGAGAGACGGAAGCACAGTCATTGACCAGAAAGCTGTCCACATGTTTGCCCCTCGGTGAAGGGAAGGCCGAAGAAGCAGCCTGGGCTCCCGGAGCTCGCCCCGTCCCTGGCTAGGGCCAGCCTCTCTGGGAATGCTGCTCAGTGCATGCTGCCCACATTTGACTTTGTTTCCATTTTCTGAACTCCATGCAGAGCTTACTTTATTGACACGTGCTGCAAAATAACTAAAGGTTTAGCTTCCTTGGTTGGGTCATTTGTTCTCCAGATCTGCAAAAGGCATTTTCTTTCTCATTCTTTGTGTTAAGACAGAGTGGCTGCTGCAGAAACCATGTGGCCCAAAGCCCAGAGTATCGAGCCTGTAGCCTTCCTGAAAAGCTCTGCCGGCCCTGACTTAGAGGGATCTGATTATGCCTTCTCGGCGGGATTCTGTTTCATCTCTGGGTCATGAGGTCGACCTGTCTTCCAAACAGCACCAAATGCAGCCTATAAAACTCTGTGCGTGTAGACAAGGTTGGAGTTCCTGAGTTACTCCTCAGGTCAAGCACTAAGATGACGGATGTTTTTCTTCACCCGGGTTTTATGTCCTGTGTCAGCCAGGTCAGGGTTAGTCTCTGCAGGTCAGGAGGGGTCCCAGGAGGAGGTAACCTCTAGCAGCTGTGGAACAGACGTGGCTCTGCGTGGTGCTCTGGGCCCAGTTGGTTCTGCTTCGTCCTGCCCTTGCCGCACACCACACAGCTACCTGCTGGTTGTGAGAGGGCCGAGTGGTTGGTGTGCAGTGTATGGTTTGGGTTCATTTTCAGGCCAGAAGAACTACCGGTGCACTCTGTGTGACAAGTCTTTCACCCAGAAGGCTCACCTGGAGTCCCACATGGTCATCCACACCGGGGAGAAGAACCTCAAGTGTGACTACTGTGACAAGCTGTTCATGCGGAGGCAGGACCTCAGGCAGCACGTGCTCATCCACACGCAGTAAGTCGGCCTTGCTCCGCAGGGCCACGTGCAGATTTCACTTTGCTGCTTGCGTGCTTTCTTTTTCACTTCTGCCCTCCATACTTATTTTTATTCCTTGTTTTCAAGTCACAATGTCATTTTGGTTTTTTTGGTGCCTGGGATCAAACTTGGGACCTTGTGCTTTCGAGGCAGGTGGCAGAACCCCCTGAGCTAGATCCTTGGCCCAATAATATCATTTATTAACAATTGGAAGATTACTTCTGTGGTGCCGAGTGTGGTGCTGGGTGGTAAAGAAAGAGAGGAAAGAGCCCAGCTTTGTCCTGAAGAGCTCGGTGTCTGGAGCAGCGACCGAGAGGGAGCATTGGTGTGCACTGGCCACTGGGTGCTCACATAGCCAGTCTGGGAGGCTGGCCGCAGTCGGGGTGTCTCAGAGACGGGCTGGATTGAGGGGAGGTGGAGGGGTGAGGAGCGAGGGTGGCGCCTGAGTGGAAATGGGAGCAGCAGGAGCAGAGCCCATGGCTCTTAGGGCAGCGTCACATGCATGGAGGGCCAGGGCCAGCACCGTCTGCCCGTGTCCAGTGCTCCGGGCAGTGCTGCTGTGTCCTGCTGGTTGTGCAGGCACTGGGACCCTTGGGAACGGAGTGGTGTCGTGGTGGCCAGGGACAGGGTGAAGGGGAGGAGGTGGCCAGGTGCCGAGAGGCAGGCTGGGATTTCTGCAGGAGTCCACGTGTAGTGCCTGTCCTGCCTGTGGCGCAGGAGCAGCAGCGTCGTGGTCCTCGCTCTGAGCGTGCATCGGAGAGGGAGAAGGCCCCGCACCTGAGATGGAGCTCTGATTGTACAGGGTTGGGAGAGGCTTTGCTCAGCGTGAGCGTCTTTGTCTGCTGTCTGTGCCTGGGACACTGAGCAGCTGGAGTCTGCATCCACTTTCCAGCACTCAGAGGGACTCTCTCTTTTTTTCTTTTTCTTTCTCCCTTTCTTCCCTCCCTCCCCCATCCCCTCTCCCAGCCCCTCCTCCATTCATTATCTTTATTATTATTATTGTTGTTATTATTATTTATTTATTTTTTGGTACCGGGGATCAAACTCGGGACCTTGTGCTTGCGAGGCAGGCGCCAGAACCACTGAGCTAAATCCCCGGCCCTTTTATTTTTTTTTTTTGAGATGAGGGTCTGGGTGTGCTGCCCAGGCTGGCTATGAACTTGGGATTGTTCTGCCTCAGCCCCCTAAGTAACTGAGATTCTAGGTGTGCATCAGTGTGCCCAGCTGTAAAGAACCTTTCAAAACAAAGTCTTCCTTAGTTTTCATTATTTGTATGAAAGTTTAGAAAATCAGGTGGCATTTATCAGATGTATAGAATTGTGGGGTGCTGCAGCTGACATCTCTGGGGTCATCTAATCACACTTCGGCCTACACAGTGGCACAAGGAGTCACCAAGAGCAAGCCCGTGCGCAGTGCCCTCCCTTGGTACCGCCCACAGACCTGTGAGAAAACACGTTTCTGTGAGCCACCTGGGCTTTTGGGGGAAGGCAGGCAGGAGGCGGGACATGAGAGTCGGGTCCAGGGTCCTCTTCCTGTAAGGACATTGATCCCTGCCTGGAGGCCCCTCGCTCATGGCTGTAGCTGAACCGGACTCCTCCCCTGGGGCACCTGCCCCCAGAGAGGGTGTCGAGAAGTCCCCCAGGGATGCCTTTCCGGCTGGTCAGGGTGGAGGCCTAGCCTTTCCCTTTCCGGAAGCCCCCAGTGACTGACAGGTGGCACTGCAGCCCCTCGGGCGGGTGAGCACAGGGTGACTTCCTGCGTGCTAAGCTGTAAAAGCTGCCATCAGCCTCTGGCTGGGCTTGTGTGTCTGCACATGGAAGTTCACTACTCCTTGACGTTGGCAGCCTTTTACAGGATTTATGGTTGATGCTGTGTCCCCAGCAAACCCCCTGGGTTCTCGTAGCAGCCAGGCTTAAACCTGGTCCCAGGGGTAGCACTGTCTGTTCAACTCCGACCGGTCCGGAAGCAGCCAGTGGAGCTATGCCGGCCTGGCCTCGGGACAAGTGGTCCTTCCGCCAGCCAGGCTGCTCTGGTGTGTGCCGGAGAGATGCGGGCTCGGAGGCCCGGAGGGTGAGAACACCCTTTAGCAGAAAGCAAGCCCAGCAGCACAGGATAACAGTGGCTGGCGGGGGAAGGAGACAAAGCACTGATAACGGCGAATCAGTGAACCCCGAGCGCACTCAGCACGGGAATGCATGCAGGGTGCTCCACAGGGCCAGTCAGCGGGGCCAGTCAGTGCACAGTCAGCGCACAGTCAGTGGGCCAGTTCTCCACTTGTCTTTTGTCTTCTTGTTTTGACTTTTATGCATATTTCTTACAAAAACAAACCAGAACAAAAGCCTACTTGTACAAGGGTGGGGACTATCTGACAGAGGCGAGACAGGAGGAGGGAGCGTGGTCCTCGGCTGTGGTTGGCAACCCCAGACCCAATGCTTCTCTGTTTCTCATAGAGAACGCCAGATCAAGTGCCCCAGGTGCAACAAGCTGTTCTTGAGGACAAATCACCTAAAGAAGCATCTGAACTCTCACGAAGGCAAGCGCGATTACGTGTGTGAGAAATGCACGAAGGCCTACCTGACCAAGTACCACCTCACCCGCCACCTAAAGACCTGCAAGGGCCCAGCCTCCAGCTCCTCCGCCCTGGACGAGGACGATGAGGACGACTCCGAGGAGGACCTGGTAGAGCCTGTGGGGCCAGAAGGCTGCAGGCTGGGCAGCGCTCTGTACTCAGCAGAGGAGCCCCTCTCAGCGCACAAATGAAGACGCAAAGGAAGACACAGCCAGTTGCCCATGACAGTGCTGTTATGTGAAATGGTTTCCGGTTTCTTTCCAGCCAGCAGTCACAGCAGACGGAGTGGAGCGCATGGAGACGGCACCAGAGGGGTTTCCCAGTAAGACATCCATCCGACCGAGGAGAGCGGGCGTCCCATGCCTGGGGCTAGGGGGAAGGGCCAGCTTTTCTCAGGTTGGTTCTTTTATTTCCATGATGATCTGGGAGATGCATTTATGCCTGCGTCAAAGTGGCCTTCTGCCCAAACAAGTCAGATTTATTTCTGATTCTTCCATTCTTCCACCTCCTCCTGCCCTGTGACTCGGTGCCGCCCCACACTTGCTCCCTGCCCTGCAGCCATCCTTGTAGCTGCCACACGATGTTGTGTGCATTTGGTGAACGTGCGTGGCACTGTCTGCTGCTCAGGCTGAAAGCAGCTCCCGCGACACCCTCTCCAGGCCTGGGGAGTTCAGGGCAGATCTGACTCAGGTTTTCAGCAGGTGCCCTGGAGCAGATACGGAAAGGAGCAGCCAGTCGGTGGGCAGTGACAGGAGCGCAGGGCGGGGAGGCCTGGCTCCTGCCAAGGAGCCATCCCAGCGGCTGTGTGGAAGCCCGGGTGAGGCCTCTGGGCAGGCTGGGCGTGCCTCTGGCACCAGTAAAGCCCAGGCCCCGAGAGCCCAGATGACTGCCAGCTGCCTCCTGGCAGGAAGGAATGGTGTTTGCTTGCTTCCCTGTGAAAAGGGAAGCCACCGTTAATGTGTTCTCACTTCAAAGCACTGATGACGGCATGGCGGGCACCAGAAAGTTGGGCCCTGGTGGTGGGCTGTGTGCGGAGGGACCCTGGGTAAGCGTGGAGGGTGCCTGAGGGTTCAGAAGGTAGAGGAGCTGCAAGGCCACTGCCTCTGCAGGAAGCAGATCTGCCCACAGGGCGCCCTCCTGCTCCAGGGCTCCACCTCCGGGCTGGGCCAGATGACTGGTGAAGGTTTTGCTGCTAATGTATTTATGGAATGAATATATTCATTCAGATCTGTATTCCTCTAGGAAGGATGAAAATAAACATTTTTTTAAAGTACAGGACTTTGTTGTGATTCTGTGGTTAGTCCCCACAGCCTGTGCGTCTTTCCAGAACCGTGCCCGCAGGTGACCCTGAGCAGCCAGCGCTCGAGCCAGTCCCCATCTCCAGTGGGCCGGCCACATGGCCACCGGATGCACACCCTCGGGGGTCATTAGGCCCTGGGGTCTGCCTGGCCCTCGGGCCAGCCTGCCTTTCAGAAACTGTGGAAGTGCCAGCCCAGCCTAACGTGTCCTGTCATGTCGTGTCGTGTCGTGTCACAGGGAGAATGGAAAAGTGAGAGGACTGCCCGTGCGGGTGCAGACTCGGCCCTCCAGGATCTGACTTTACACTCCGGTTACGCCGAGGAAGTGAGAGGCTCGCAGTGACTCAAGCTCTCCGTGGACCCCCAGCGAGCCACGCAGGACACAGATGGAGACATGTACGTGGGATGCAAGTCAGGCCACGGCAGCAGCACACAGGTACACGTTGCTCCCAGCAGTGCGTCATTAGGTTTGCAAGCATCCAGGGTGTTTTCACACAAACCTAGTGGCACAGGACAGTCCCTCCATGTGGCCTCTCAATGCCAGCATGGGACAGAAGGGACACTTGGTGTATGCGGCTGTCTCTTGCCTCAGTCCCCCAAGTCCTGGGCTTGCTGGCATGCAGCATCACTCCCTGCCTTAAAAGAGCACACTACGTAGTCAGATTGCAAAGCCAGTGAGCCATTTGCCATCCCATCAGGTACTAAGTACCATGCGACATTGTGTGAGCTGTACTTCAGGGCCGGCAGTGCAGTGGTGTTGACACCAGCGCCACCCCTGGCGTGAGCATTGTCCAAAGTTATGACACTGGTGACGTCATCAGTCCAGGAATGTGTCGGCCCCCTTAGCGTCTTACGGGACACTGGCTGTGGTTGGCTGGAATGGCGTCATGTTACGCATGACCTTAGGTGCAAAGTGTTACCGAAATGTACGAGCAGGAGTGAGAGTCACTCTGGAGGAGTAAAGAAAACTGAGCGGGAGCCCGGCTCTGTGGTGCCGTAAGAGAAGCCCGGGCTGGGGGAAGACAGTGGAGAGAGAGCGTCTGGAAAACCAACACAGAGATTTGGGACACAGGACAGGCGATTTTCAGGGATGACTGTTTCCAGTTGCAGTGACGTGCACTTGTATCAGGTGTTGGTCTGGTGTGACCCGCGACGATGCCTGGTCTATAGAGGCAGCCAGGCTCTCCCTGTGGCACACACTGAAGTGCTGTGGTTTGGATCTCAAATGTCCCCCGAGGATCACATGTTGGAGGCTTGGGGCCCAGCCTCAGGGCTCTGGGAGGAGGTGGGCACTGAGGGGAACCTGGGACCGGCCCTTCTCTGCTCTTCGGTGCTCGCCCCTCCGTGCTGTCTGCCTCACCACAAGCCAGAGCAGCGGAAACCAGGAGCGAGAATGAGCTTTCTTCCTAGTGCTGCCTTAGGTGCTGTGTGACAGTGGGGGAGGCTGCCTAACCCTGGGCCCCCCATTAAAAGCGGCCGCACAGAATCTAAGCTGTCCACCTGGGGAGGCCTACTCATTTCGTGAGCAGGGTGCGGCTTCACTCTGTTTTCTGTCCCCTTGCACCCCCTTCCCACCTGCTGACCCCTTTTTATTCTGTTGCTGAGGCTCAGGCTGGACGTGGGCTTTGCAGTGGGACAGCGGGGAGAGGAAATGGCTGCTTTGGGGAAACCTACATCCTGAATCATCCATCACTGGGTGGTAAGTTCTGTAGGACTTCTTCAGCTAATGCTGCGAGGCACTGGGACTGCATTGCCCTCAGACGTGTTCTCCAGTGGTTGTGCATTTTAGTTTACCATTTGTTTAGTTCGTACAGAACATTATAAAAGTAGGATTTATCCCAGTTTTCTAAATGTTGAAAATAAAATTCAGGTATATTGGCTTTATGCATTTCCTGTTCAGTGTCCGTGTTTCTCCTCCAGAGGTCTCCCCAGTTCGTCCTCAGGAAGTGCAGAAATGCTCAAGCTCTGCTTCTAGTCCCGCACCTCGTTTCTGCCTGTGTCATGCCGCTCCCTCCAGTGGCATAACTGCACTGCACTTGTGAGGTACGTTTCTCATAAGCAGGGACACCTCTGTGAGCTGGCGCGTGTAATGGGTTAGGGACAGCTGGCATTTGGCCCTGAAAGCGAATTATTCCAAAGCGGGAGTGATGGCATACTGTTCACTTCAGGTCTTTCCCGAGTGCCTGGCTAGACAGGCTGTCACAAAAGAAAGGGAGCCAGGTTACTTTGCACCTGCAATTCCCAGGATGCAAATAGTGCATTTCATGGCAAGAAGAAAGCAGGATGGTCTACTCCTTCAGCACGTATTTGTTTTACATATGAATTTTAGAATTCTTTCTAGTTCTCATTGGTTTTTTGATGGGGGTTGCAGTGACTGCATAGATTGCTTTGGGTAGCATGGGTATTTTAACACCAATTCATTCTTCCAATTCACAAACATGGATGGTTTTCCCACTTTCAGTGTCTTCAATTTCTTTCATTGGCATTTTGTAATTTTATTGGTTTTTACTTTATTCCTATTTTTGCATTTGTAGCTATTGTAAGTGGGGTTGCATTTATGATTTTTCTCAACATATTAGTGTACAGAAAGCTATTAACTTTTGTATGTTGATTTTGCATCCTACTACTTAGTGGAATTCATCGAACAGTTTTAAGTCTCTGGTGGAGTCTTCAGGCTTTTCTGTGTATATAGAATTGTACTATTGGCAAACAGATAATTTGGCTTCTTTCCTATATGTCTGCTTTTTCTTTCTCTTGTCTAATTGCTTTGGCTACAATTTCTAGTACTATATTGAGTAAGAGGGGGCATCCTTGTCTTGTTCCTGATCTCAAGAAATGCTTTCCACTTTTCCCCCTTCAAGCCGTGGTTGGTTGTAAGCCTGTCACAACAGCCTTTATTGTGGTATGACCCTCCTCTACCTAGTATGTCCAGGGCTTTTATCATGAGGGGAGACTGAATTTTATCTAACGCTTTTCTTGTATCTATTCAGATGATCACATGATTTTCACCCTTTATTCTTCTTATGATTTATTACTTTTATTGATCTGTGTATGTTGCATCATCTTTCCATCTCTGGAATGAAACCAACTCGATCATGGTGTATTCTTTTTGATGTGCAGTTGAATTCAATTTCTAGTGTTTTGGGGGCATTTTTGTAAGTTTATCAGGGATACTGGTCTGTAGTTCGCCTGTTTGGTTGTTTTCAGACTTTGGTAACAGGGTAATGTTACGACAGAACGAGTTTAGAAGGCCCTTCCCTGTCAGTTCTACACTTTCAGAGAAGCACTGGTGTTCTTCAGGTCTGGCGTTATTCCACAGTGAGGCCATCTGGTCCTGGACTTTTCTGTACCGGCAGACTTTATTATTAACTCATTATTTGTAATTGCTGTCATTACGTTTTAATCATCTAGAACACTGGTTCTCAACCTTTTTGGTACCAGGAACCATTGTTGTGGAAGACAATTTTTTCACAAACCTGGAGGTGGGGGGTGGGGTTTTGGGATGATTAAGGGAATTACATTTATTGTGCACCTTACTACTATTACTCGTTTCTGGCTGTTGGATCCTCACAGGGAGTGTGCAATCTAGATTCCTTGTTGGATCCTCACAGGGAGTGTGCAATCTAGATTCCTTGCAAACACAGTTGACTGCAGGGTTCTCGTGCCTATGAGAGCCGAACAGCCCTGCTGATCTGATGTAAAGCAGGTGCCAGGGAGCAGCTGTAAATACAGGTGAAGTTTTGCTCTCCTGCTCACCTCCTGCTGTGCAGCCAGTTTTTAACAAGCTAGAGACAGGTACTAGTCTATGGCCTGGGGTTTGGAGACCCCTGATTTAGAGCTTATTTCACTATCTGATTAAAAGCCAAACCAAGGCAAAGAAACAAGAGTATTTACTCCATCCTTCAATGTGCTGTCCGTGGTGAATCCAAGCTGCAACCCCTTTTATGCCAGTTGTCTGACCTGGAACGGCAATCTGACAGGTTAGGGCTGGGTCTCCTTACTGCCTGTTAGCATTCATAGGAGTCAGGACTCCGCTGGGTGGAGAGCGGGGACTTCCTCATGTGATGATCTCATGCCCTGAATGGCACCAGGCACAGGACAGGCCTTCAGTGTTTGAAAGTGAATGTGCCTCCTCTGACTGTGCCAGGAAGAAAAGGTGCGGCACCTTCCAATTATGTACCAAACTAAGAGCAGCCCTTGAGGGCTGGGGTTTAGCTCAGTGCCGCTGCCTGCCTTACAAGTGCAGTCCAGATCCCTGGTACCAAAAACAAAAGAGCAGCTCCTGAGAACATTTTCAAGTCACGGGCATTAAACTGAGAACCGTCACGTCAGGAAAGGAGTCTGCGAGGCACCTGCCTGTTCTCAGTCGCCTGTGCAGTCTTCGCCAAATCCCCACCTTGCCAGGCACAGTTTCACACACTGGTTTGGATCACAGTGTTTTCCCTTCTTAAACTCTAAAGCCTGTATGGTGGCATGCACCTGGGAGCCCAGCTACTCAGGAGGCTGAGGCAGGAGATTGCTGAGCCCAGGAGTTTGAAGCCAGCCTGGGCAACATAGCAAGACCCTGTCTCAAAAAAAAAAAGAGAAGAATTTTCTATAGGTTACTACCTACTTTATAAACTTAAGATTTACTGTGACAGCACATTAAACAATTCATTAGTTAAAAAACATTTTTTAAATTATTGTTTCCAAGAAATATGAGGACCCGCAGCACCCACATGAGGCAAGCACAAAGCCCAGCTCTGTGTAACGAGTCCGCTTCTGTCACTCCCCACAGCGGCAGCTAGACACAGCCCAGGTTCAGGGACGCAAGCTAGGACTCCATTGCAGTCTCTGCACCCCTGCCCCCGAAAGGGCCGCTGACAGACGAGCTCCTCGCACTGCCCAGAACAAGCCGCTCTCGTCTTCCGAATGCTTCATTTACTACAAGGCAAAGAAACTGTTAGGAAACCACCAGGTCAAGAAATTAAGTCTGTAACACACAAGAGACTCGGATGGAAAAACTGAGCAGTAAGGCTCTCTCCCCTCTGGTGGAAAGTTTCTGAAAACATTTAACACTTTATAAACGGGAAAGGAAGTAAGCAGCCTGGAAGTCTAAGTTAATGTGTTGAATGCAGGAGACTGGTTTTTAATGGTCTACTTCTTTCTCACACTTCACCTTGGCTTGTCCTGGATTTATCTAACTGCCTTGACAGCAGATGCCCACTGACTGTCCTTTCTTTATTCTACTTTGTTGCCTGTTTTCTTGCCCTGTATCTTAACCAGCTTACAACTTTCTGGATGTAGGGCCCTCTGCACGTGAGTTAAAATCAGAACAACCCCGAGGGAGACCTCAGGACCCTTCAGCAGCAGGTAGGACTCAGGAATCACGGTGGGGAGATTTTCTCTGTGGGACACATCAGACTTGCTCAAAATAATAAACAAGCAGCGAGCCTATGGCATGCGTGTTGCAGGGGGCTGTTTGTATCACTGCAAGCTCTGAAGCGCTCGCCATCACCGAGCTGGGGTCTCCTGAAAGGAAAGGGGTGGATCTCGCAGACAGCTGAGAAGTGCACAGATTCACTCACTCTGGTAACTGGAAGGGGAGGGCTGTTCTTTGAAACATGCTGTACTTCTAGCTTTCCTAGACCTTTCCATTTTAAGACATTTTAAAAATAATCTACATAGCAAGCGGAAGGTCCCAAGTTCAATCCCCAGCACCAAACAAATAAATAAATAAATGAATAAAAATAATCTACACCTGGGCCAGGGATGCAGCTCAGTGGTGCCACACTTGCCTGGCAAGTACAGGGTCCTGAGTTCTAGTCCTGGTACTGAAAAAAAAAGATGTGCACCTAACCTAAAATGTGAAGTCAAAATGACCTGTACACAGGAGTGTTTCTGCAGTGAGGGGTCCACTACAGGTACAGGCTGTGTCTGCCCTGCTCTCTGCCTGTCTTGCAGTCACATACGCTGCATCGCCTTTTCCAGCAAGAGCAGCCAATGGAAGTCTCACCTGAAGAGACGGTGCTTATGTCCCAGATACGGAGGCCTTCTTTCTGGCCCCCAAAGGCATACACAAAGGGCAAATCAGGGCAACACGAAGAACAGAAGAGAACGCCCTGGGGGAGAGAACAGGTCAGTGACTTCTGCCCTTCCAGAGAGCTCCAGACCCTACCTCGTCCAGACTGGAACCTCCTGTCTGAATGGTTACACAAAGCCAGTGCACTGCAGTCAAGGGGGAAGGGGACTGGTGTGACACAGCTGGGCGAGCTTGGCATACTCTAAACACTCGCTCTCCCGTCCTCATCACTCTCAGGGTCTTCCCAGAAATCTCACTGGCTGTGTGTATCCAGAATCCCCAGCTCTCCTTTTCCAGTGACAATGACACCAGAGGTCACTATGACATTTCTTCACGCTGCCAAGGATCAAATCCTAGGGTCGCAAGCCTGCTAGGCAAGTGCTTTAGCACTGGGCCACACCCCCATCCCTGAGTCATTTAAACACCTTTAACGCTTTCATTACTGGATAACACATATGTACTACAGAAAGTATAACAGGAACAAGTATGAAAATCTCAGTGGGATGACCACTGCTGGTGTTTGGGATGTAGTCTGCTAGATTCAAACACAGGCATGGGGAAGTACTACAAAGATTACTTCTATAACCTGCCTTCCATGGCTGAATAAATACAGTTTTAACAGGGGTGTGGTGTTCCACTGTAGCTACAGTCTAATTTAAATAACACACCGCCTGACAGAGTAGGTGCTCAGAATTTGTTGAAAGAATCCTGGTTATTCTAGACCTGTGCTAGCACGTATGTTGTAATCAACTGCAGTGCAGTCAGAACCAGTTATGTAATGAGGTCACACAGATAAAATACTTGGACCCCAGCAGCTCCAGTTCCCTAAGGCCCAAGAGTTCCTGCAGTGGTCTTGATTTTAGGGCAAAAATGTGGCCCTTCCTCACGTCCTCCCCCACCTCTCATGATCTCACCAGGTGACTGTCCATCACGTGTGGACTTGGAGGCAGAGTGTCACCGAGTCCTCTGCAGCTGCCCTGAGCTACAACCTCCCACCTAATCAGCTCCAACTTCACCACCTTCCACATCCAGACTCTGAGAAGCAGCGATTCCCAGAGGAGACGAGGGCTGCCGGCAGATTACAAAACACCAGATGTCAGGGCCTCACCATCTTCATGTCCCTGGAGTGAACGAGACTTGGCCTGTCCCCCAGGATGTCCCAGATCTTCACGTACTTGTCCGCTGACGCGGTCACCAGGCAGCCCTTGATCTGACTGCTCAGCTCGAGACCTGGGGAGGCACAGTGCTCAGACTCCCTGCATCGCGAGCCCCTCTGGCCCGGGGAGAGGCAGCGCTCCCACTCACCGGAGATCTCGTCATTGTGTGCGTTGAGTGTGAACACCGGCTTGTCTGACCTCGCGTCCAGATCATACACGAAGCCGTCGTCTGTGCTGGCCTGGAAGGAGTTAAGAGGCAAGATCACTGTCCAGGACGATGGCATCAGTGGCAAGCAGTGACTCGCTCCCGAGGACTCCCTGGCACTCAACCACAGTTAACAGACACCAAGGCTGACCTCAGGCAGGGCCCAGCTGCACTTACTTACACTTACGTGGCGAATTCTGCTGATGTGCCCATCAGGCTGCAGGGCGGCGCTGGTGAGCAGGGTGGAATGGGTTATGGGCCAGCAAAGCCAGCACAGTGGAGGAGGAGGAGAAAGAAGGGGCCACTAGGCCATCCTGAAGGTGGGGCTGAGCATGGGCCAAAAGCTGAGGAGGAAGGGGCCCATTTCGTCACCACCCACCTCCCTACACGCTGGCTTGGGTATCCATGACCGCTTGTTAGCGAGCCACCTCAGGAGGCGTGTCTGACGGCAGACGAGGGCCAGCACAGCCCTCACAGGGCCAGACCCTCTCATGCTAACTGGGGTGGGGTCTGGCCACAGGGCGGCTCACTGAGCACTTCCTGGGTCAAGGCGCAGGGCTGAAGGGCTGAGGTTAACTGTGCACACTCCCTCTGCGGGCACGTGAAGCTCATCTACCTCCCAGACAGACCCTGGGATGCCGTTTCTCCCGGGCAGAAATGTCAGCGGGATGGATCTCTGGGCACTTCATGGAAACGCACCCTGCAGCGTGGCAGGTGTTTACAGAATGCGTTACTTTTCTCCTCTGTGGGAGACAGTGCCGTAAATCAAACAAGCTCTCATCCTCACCACTAGCACTCCGAGTAAGGATGAAGATTTAGATAAAGGACTGGTTGGACTAACTTGGACTGGTTAACATACAAAAGGAATATTAACTAGGCTTAATTTCGCAAAAAACACAAAACGATCAGTAAGTAAAACTAAAGCATGGCATACTCTGGAATGGCTGACAACTAGTAAAATCATTCACACAGCCACCAGTGTTTTTGTGGCTAAGCCACTGTCTTGTTAAAAAAAAACAAACCTCATCTTTTCAATCATAAGCTCCAAACACTTACAACACTGTTAATACAGAAAGAGAATCCTGCTGCAATGGAACTAGAGACAGTAAGTTGTTAAAAACCTACAAAGGCTTTCGAAATAGTAATTTGTGTATTCTTACCAAAAAGTGACAAGGGGCGAAGTGATTCCAGGTCACCCGCTCGATCTGCCCACTGAAGCGCCACAGGCGGTGGGTGTCGTCTGGACTCCGGCAGTCGTACAGAGCCACGGACCTGGACACAGGTAGGCACATGAGGGCCGGGACCGGCTCTCTGGTGTCTACGCTTATGTTTAATGAGGTCAAAATTCAGTAAAGCCTGTTTTAAGATTCTAAAATGATGCAGAAAACAATGAGTTGATTTTCCCTTCAGGTGACTCCAGTCCTGTCACCTGAAGGCAGTGGTGGCGCTGGCGTGACAGTGGCCTTGACCTCCTGCAGCATCCAGGCCACTGGTGTCCGCCCCTCGTGGGCTCAGAGCCACATGACTCACGTCTCAGCCAGTGCTGCCTCCCAGAGTACAGCACTGTGCTGGACAAAGCAGGGGGTGTGCCCGTATGACTCTGCATGCATCACACCCAAAAGGGCGAACTTCCCACCCCGCAGGAGGGCAGAACCTGACCAAAGCCTCTGCGTGGCTCTGAATCCTCCCCTGTCTTCCACCTCAGGCCCGGCCCTGGACTGAGACTCCTCACTGGAGCACAGCCCCTCCCACGGCAGGGCCCCTGCTCACCATGGTGCCATGCCCTGAGGTCCCGTGTGGCTCACCCTGCTCCTAGGAGGGTGTGACACACCAGGAGCAGGGCCACGTGTGCCCGCACACCCTGAACGGCCCTTGTGGCACAGCTGCCAGGAGGACCCAGTGCGCCAGCCCAGCCTCACGGGCATGAGAAATAGCACGCTCAGTGCCCTAATTTAGGCCTGTACCTTCTGGGATGGGTTGTTTCACAACATACACCTTCTAACGATCAAATAAGCCGCTAGTGACTGGGACCCTAGCTCACACACACACACACAAAAAATCAAAGAAGTTGCAAATTCTCTAGGTCCACTGTTACGACACTATACTGCCTTACAGACTGAGGAGGCCACAGGCCTCAGGGAGACACGAGCAGTGCTCACAACTTAAGACATGCAGGCGCCCGATCTCGTCTTGTTTGGCACCAACTGCACTTCGGAAGTGGGCCAAGAGGGTGAACACGGAGCCACGCGCTTCCCCAGGTGCTTCCTTACTTATCATAGGATCCAGAGATCAGGGTCTGGGCTTCGAACGGGTGAAACTGTAGAGTCTGGACCTGAGGAAGGAGAGACAGGCGCTGAGATCAAGCGCTGTCTGTGCTAAGTCGCCTGGAGTGCGGGGACAGCAGACTGGGCAGTGTTTCTACAAATGCTTCCCTTGGAAATTCAGCGCTGTGTAACAAAACAAGTGCCAGCACTGAGGGACGCTGAGGCGGGAGGACTACAAGTCTGAGTCCAGCCTGAGTAACTCAGTGAGACCCTATCCACAAATAAAAAATAAATAAAAAGGGTCTGGAGATGAAGCTCAGTGCAAAGGCCTTAGGTTCAATCCCCAGGACTGAGAAAAGAAAAGGAAAAAGAAACAAATGCATGGCGTACTCCAAAAGGCAAACTGCGCTTCCAGATAAAGGCTGGCACTTATGCAAATGTGGAAGGCTCACATCCCTCACTGTGCAAAGCGGCCCCGAGGACTCTGCGCATTCGCCTGCATTCTGCATTGCAGAGGAGCCTCTGTGAACGTGCTGGCTGCTGCTGCTGCTCGCTGGCATGCCATGCACACTGGCTCTGCAGTGCCAAGTGAGCATCAAGCCTATTGAGCAGGGCTCTGGGAAGACCCAGGGAGCTGCCACGTGAGCCTGAAGCCAGAGCCTTCACACTGGACCTCATCCCCTACCTGAGACAGGGCCTAAGTTACTAAGTTGCCAAGGCTGGCCTCGAATTTGCATTCCCCTGCCTCAGCTTCCCAAGGTGCTGGGATTATAGGGAGGTGCCATCACACCCAGCTATGAAGGCACTTTGTAAACCACAAAAAGCCACGTAAAACTGGCTGGGATGCTCTCCAGCCAGCATCTGTCCCAGGGGTTAGGATCGCATACTTTGTCTGTGTGCACGGCGAGGCTGGCTGCCGGTTTCCCCAGGGACATATCCCACAGAATGACGGTACCGTCAGCAGACGCGCTAGCCAGCACATTCCTGAGAGAGGGGAGAAACAAATTAGACCACCTTGTAAAAACCAGAAGCAGTAAGAGTAAAAGGACTCCCTTTCCCACGGCATCGAAGAGAATAAACGCTTTGCCAGGGATTTAGCTCAGTGGTTTCGCCGCCTGCCTTGCAAGCACAAGGGCCCAAGTTTGATCTCCGGTACAAAAATGAGAATAAACGCTTAGGAATGGGTTTATCTGAAGAAACCCAAGACTTCCATGGTGAGAACTACCGGTGCTTGTTGAGAGCAATGGCTAGGTGGGAGACAGCCACACGCTCTAGGAAGACTCTGTGCTCTTAAGACAGACACAGTCACTTCTCTGCCTTTTGGCTAAGATCAAGTGAAGACAGAACCAGCAGCCAGCGTGGGCTGGTCTGTTCAGAATCCCAGACAGCCTCTTCAACAAAGGGATGAGCTGATTCTGAGGTTCCCAGGGAAAGGCAGATGACCCAGGGCGGCCAAAACACATTTTGAAAAAGAAGAGCAAAGTTGGGCAGCTCATCCTTCCTGATTTCAGAATGAACCAAAAGGTCAGGGTAAACACAACAATGTGCCACTGCTAAGGACAGCACTACAGGACCGCAGAGTGCGGAGGCCAGGAAGAACCCCTGGCACTTTTGATTTCTGACAAGAGCCAGGTCAGCGGTCTCAGGCTGAGCAATGGTTTCTCACACACAACACCAAAAGCACATATAACAAAATAAGCTGGCTGTCACCAACATGAAAAATGTATGCTGCAAAGGATTCTGTGAAAGTAAAGACAACCCACCGGGTGGGAGGGAAAATAGCCAATTAGTATCTAGAATACATAATAAGCTCCAACAACTAAATTAAAAAATGGCAAAGGCCTTCAATAGGACATTTCTCATAAAGAAGATATACAAGGGCCAATAAGCACAAAGTTGCTCAGTGCCACTAATCACTGAGAAATGCAAAGGGAGATAGCATTTCCTACCTGTGTAGGACGGCTACTATCAAAAAGACAGAAACGTCAGGAGGCTACGGAGAAGCTGGAACCCGTGTGTGCACTGCTGGTGGGGATATAAAATGGTGCAGCCACTATGGAAAATAATGTGGCTCCTCAAAAACTCACAAAGACAATTACTGTAAGGGTAGTGATGACAGCTGAGAGAACCGGAAGCAGGGCCTCACAGACACCTGTGTGTCCTCATTCACAGCAGTATTATGACCGCAGCAGCTGACAGGTGCCCGCAACCCAGTGAACATCCGTGGGTGTGCACAGACGTGGGCAGAGGTGTGACTACACGGACGAGCCCGAAGAGGTTATGTGTATGCAGCAAGCTGGCCACAAGGAGCAAACACTGTGGTTCCACCCACATGAAACAGCAGTCACCTTCACAGGGACAGCAGACAGAGGGGCGGCTGCCAGGGCTGGGAAGCAGCAGCAGGGAGCTGGGTTCTAGTGCTAATGAAGTACAGAGCTCCCTTTGGGAAGATGAAGCTTTGATACGGATTCTGACGACAGCTGCGTAGCAACATGGACACAACGGGAGTCACTTTACTTGAAAACGGTTACCGTGGTTACCTTCTGATTTTTCTATCCTTTACCATACATTAAAGGAGAAAAAAAAAAAAAGAGTGTGTGGCTGAGATGTGAGAGGAAAGAGAGAAGACTGTCTCCCCGCACGCATGCACGCACGCAGAGCGGTGCAGGCTGGTGGGTGGGCAGGGACAGACAGCAGCGCGGGGCTACAGAGGCACACAGCATCTTCGGGCGGAGGAGCCAACAGGCAGAGGCCCACGGCGCACGGACTGA